CACAAAAAAAAAAAAAAAAAAAAAAAAAACCCGGTAAGAGACGAGAACGATCAAAAGACGGCCACTTTTTATGACGCACTACAGTCCAGTAGTGTAATAAGACTATCTTTGAAATAAATAAATAAATAAATAAAATTGGTGGATAAAAAGCTTCTATCCATTTAAATTTACAAAATATTTTTTACCCGTATCATGAGCATTGTTTTCTTCTCTTCCCGCTGAATAAAGGATTTACGAGACCGTAGGGCTGTTTGGTTGCACACTTTTTAAGAAAATTTTTTTTAAAATATTTGACAATGGTAATTTTATAATTAAAAGTTTTCTATAGATTTCTGTAAATTGTGTTTGGTTCAACAAAAAATTTATAGAAATGTTTTCTATAAAATATCTAAAACTACCAAATTTTACAAAAATTAATTTCCTCTCAAAATGAGAGGAAATCAACAGAAATCTGACACCTTCCTTATTTAATCAACAAAACTCATCTCATACCCATTTTCTATAAAGTTATAAGCTATTTTCTTGTTTTAAACCAAACAAGCAAAGTAAAAAAAATAAGAAATTTTGTACTTTTTGACTTCTTCAAACTTTTCCTATAATTTTTTAAAGAAATACAAGAAAATCATATTTTGGGTGGAAAACATTTCCTATAATTTCTAGAAATGGAACCAAACACCTAGCAATACTAACCTTTTTGGTTACTTATTGCGATCTTTTACATTACTCACACATAACGTAACGTTCTTTTTTTTAGTAATTTCCCCCTTTCTGTATCCGGTGCAAATCTATTTCTTAATTCCATCAAACCAAACTCGTATCGGTACAGCAGCGGCAAACAAGATATTTTTGACATGTTACTTATACCCCACAAAACAAACACACAAGGCCACCAGTAGCTAAAGAATTGCTCTCTTCATTAAACATGAAGGGGGGGAAATTTTAAATAATAAGCGTGATACAAGTGAGGTTTATCAAATTGGATTTTGTATAACAATCAACTTCATCAATCATTTGATATTGAGCCCATATACCCAATAAAGTGTACTCCTATCCCTCTAATAAAATGCCAATATATAAAATTAAGCCTCATATACAAAGCCAATTTATGACCAGCCCCAGCTCTCTTCATCCCAATTATGAACAAACATGAGGTGATTCAGCGAGCGAGTCACGATGAACGCAGTCCGTATCCATTGGGATGGGCTTTCTGCCATCTCCATGCGACACTAAGGCTCTGCTGGAGGTCCGTGAACTGAGCAGTCCAGTTCAACTCACGGTTGATCTTGGAAGGATCGCTGTAAACTTCAGCGTAGTCACCTGGTCGACGACTCAAATAATCTACCTTGATGTTGACGCCAGTAGCCTTCTTGCATGCCTCCACAAATTCTTTCACCGATCTACCTGATAAGTGAAATAACAACAATATTACAAACAGTATATATATTAGCAGTGCATGCATACGTACATATAGGCAGTAGTAGTGAAACCATACAATACTACTTTTTAATCTATTTCCATTCATTTCATTGCATTTGAGTAGGGAAGATGTCTCAGCACCCCCCACCCCCCCACCCCCTCCCCCCTCAGCGTGACAAAAATGGGCTAAAATGAATGTTCAGGCATATGAATATCCAGCATTGAGTACATTTATTTCATGCTAAACTCTTGAAAATTAAATAGAAATCTTAGATTATGATTTGAAGAACAAGAAAAATAGCAAGACAAAAAGAATTACAAAGAATGAGCATATAATCAAAAGATGAAGGTAAATGTATATACAACACTCTTCAAGTAAGATTCTGCTTGGATCTTTTAGCATCAAACGCCCCCTCTGTTAGCCTGATTTATTAGCAATTGCACCAGCTCAGAAGCGTGTTGGATGCTAATAAACCACAATGGGGGATTACAAGGCTTGGATGGCCCACAGGGGAAAAGGCATTATATGTTATTTATACCCAAAAGAACAAACGACCAAGATGTAGACAACAGAAAATGCCAAGTCATGTTAAATAATATAGTACTCAAGCAACATGATGTAACAAGGTAGCTCAAAACATGATTTGACCCATCATAATACATTTTCACGATTTGCACAAAAGCCTCGTAGTAGAATGCTTTAATTTTGTTTAAAAGTAAAGCAGAAAAAAAATTAAAATAAATGTTACACATACTATTAAGATGGAAGTATATCAATTACCTTTTCCCGTACCGACGTTATAAATTCCAATTTTATTAGGTTGTGCCTGGTTAAGGGCTTTAACATGGGCATCAACCAAGTCGGTGACATCAATATAGTCTCTTACGCAAGTCCCATCAGCAGTAGGGTAGTCTGTTCCTTTAACCTATAAAAACCAATCAAAAATTATGTCTACCCAGTGAAATTCCAGGGACAATGTTCTTACTAATAATAATAATAATAATTCCCTCAAATCTCCTAAGCTATGGTTAAGGAACAAATATTTACCTTAAGGCCTGACATGACTCCTAATGCTGCGTCAAAGCAAGCACCAGATATGCGTCCATGTTCTCGGAGTTCTGGTCTAGGAGCTTCACCTAATCTTCCTTCTGGGTCAGATCCAATAACATTGAAGTATCTGGTAACAGGTAATTTGGGAATTAATGACCGCTCATGACTTTATTGTTTAGTTTCAATATAGAAGAGTGACAAACCTTAGAATCATGACAGCCATGTCGGTGTTCTTTGAGTAATCCAAGATGATATCCTCAGACATTTTCTTTGCCTTCCCATATGGGTTAATAGGAAACTGCAAATCAGGAATAGAATTGAAATTTTAAGACCTGATGTACCTAGAGCAGATGATTTTAACTTTCTGACACATTGAAAAATCTCTCAACTCCTTCAATTACTGAGTGTTCGATGCTTCAAAAGTGACGGTGAAAGTGTCAAAGTGAATTCACTTTCAATAAATATCGAGGTGTTTGGAAACTATAGAGCGAAATTGTAAAAGTTATGCCAACTAAGAGGGGAGTGGAAAATAAAGTATGAAAGTTATAATAAATGCACAGAGTCCGCATGGGTGACAAATCTTTTTGTGTTTAAAAGTGTATCACTTTCACATTTCCACCACCACCTTTGACTTGTCACAAACCCTAACCTAGTGCAGGTGGAATTGTTTTACTAATCCATTTGAAACTATGAAAACCTGTAAGGACTACAACTGGATTGCATGTAGGACTACAACTGGATTGCATGTAATACGCAACTTCTCCATGCTCTTCAATGATTCAATGAATGTTGATATACACTTGCTAACCATAAGAAATGCTATAGCACTAAAAAGCAAGGAAATATGATACGATTTTCTCAACAGGGTCCAAGTTTTAACAAATAAAATCAAATAAACCATGTCACCAGGAGAATTCATTACAGAGGTGATGAGCTCAGCTAACCTGAGGTGTTTGTTCTGTGATGGGCATTTTCTCGGGTTCTCCATAAGTGGCACATGTACTTGAGTATATGAGAGTTTTAACACCATGAGCTGCCATAGCCTCCAGAACTACCAAAGTGTTTGAGGTGATGTTGTGATAGTACCTGATTCAGAGTGGAATTGTTTATTTAATGGAGAAAGTATCAAACTTTAGAACTAATTGCAATAAATTGCAGGAAGAGTGTGTTTGGCCTCACTAAATTAGCAACAAACACTTAAATGAACAAGCTTATATTGTGACATCAATACGTAACTTTGGACTTTCTAAACAAAATGTTCATATGTTCCTCATATGTCTGGTGTAGTTCTTACTATGCTAGTTTGGTGGTAAAAGTTACGAGGCATACAAGATACAACTTATTGCGAACGTCAGTTTCTTTTGGCATTTTGTAGCAAGAAGTCTTCTAGGTTGCATTCCCAAAATAACATGAAAACTCAACTTCGACACTGTTTGATTCTAGGAAAAGGTTATACTGAAAACAGAAAAACCATGGGATTGTTTCAAGCATTATTCAATTGTTACCGAGATATGAACAGGAACAGAGAGGCTACGGAAACGCCATATCCACTTTGGTTTCCGAAGGTTTAAAAAATATTTTTTTCATAAAGCACCTAAATAGAATCCATTATGAGAACAAATTTTATTCATTACATAACGGTTATTACAAAACAAGACAACTGAGGTTTACCTCCGGCATGCCAGTCATTAGAAAGTTAAAGGACCTCCAACTTCTGCTCGTCAGGCTATAGGTGATATTAGGATTTTCAAGTCAACCAAGACTTATGATTTTATTGTTTCTATCAGCAGAAAGTGAATCTGGGACAAGGTTAGAAGGTTATGCCGTTAATCATCTTCTAGATCGATATATATAAGAAAAATACAGCCACTTTGGCCGTGAAAGAGACATGTAGACGCTTTTAACTTCACATGATTAAGAGAAAATTGAAGGGGTTCAATATGAAGGTTCAACACATGAGATAGTGGGAGAATGGATGGAGAGAGGAAAAGATCCATGCCATTTAATGCCAAACTAACTGGTTGGGATATCAGGAAAAATAAGATTTGATTCTTTAGTTTAATTTAGGGGTTATAGGGATATGGGACAAAGTTCATTTGTGTAAGCCAAGAAATAAAATAATTATGGGTCTACATATGGGTGTCTAGATGCTGAATGGTGGATATACTGTTGCGTAGAGATTAGCGATGGAAATAACTTATGAATCAGTAAAGAACTATTAGTACATGCTATAGGAGATGTACTAAAAACCACCCAAATAAAATTGCAATTATTATCGATATAGAGGCATAAGAACTTCATAGAACCTTCAAAAATAACTTGAAAGTAACAATGTCTTACTATTGACGCATGTTATTGTATTTATTCAGTAAAAGATGCTGCTGAGCAAAGAGATCAGATCATCTTCACTCCTATCAAACCATCTAATGGCAGGATCTTGCTAGTTTATTTCATCACTTTTTCCAACAACTTTATAGAAAACAGCTTCACATTTTATTGATATGTACAGATTTCTGTTCATATCATGTCATATACAACCTCTTTTTTAAAATCTTATAAAATTACATCATATATTGGAGTAATTAAAGAGTGAACTTACAAGTAAATACCTACTACTAAGTAGTAGATATTGTCCAGTTTTGGCCAGAGAAGCATACCTGAGAGGTTCAAGAGTACTCTCACCAACATAAGCAACAGCTGCAAAGTGCATAACAGCATCAAATGCATTCTCTTTAAATATTCGGTTAACCTAGAAATTGGTCAAGGAATTCAGCAGAAGACCATTTTATGCATACAATTTCCAACGAATATAAAACATTTAAAGCATGTGTGTTAATAAGGATACAGCCTTTGCATCCCCTAAATCAGCATAAATGAACTGAAGTCTCCCTTGTTCTGGAAATAACTCTTGGAGAATCTTAACAGCCCCAATGTTTCCTCTAGAAAGATTATCCTGGATAATTCATGGAGAAGTCATTACATGTTTTCACTACAGACCTCTAATATCAGGATTCTTGTGGCAGAAAATGATTAACATGCGTTAAAAAGATGAAATAAGAGAGAACTTGTAAAATACCACTATAGTTACTCGGTATGAGTCCTTAAGGAGACGAAGAGAAGCATGTGAGCCTATATAGCCAGCACCTCCAGTGACTAATACATGTGTTACCCCTGGCTCCCGACGAGAAAACTGTAATGTGCACAAGATTGATCAGATACACAGAAAACAAAATCATGTCAAATTCAAAAGCTCAAAAAGACGGTATTTAGTTAGCATGGAAGAAAGGAAACAGTTTTATGGCACAAGCCTCTTCGAATAGCAGGTGGTAACAATAGAGTTGATATCCGATTAGTTAAAAAAATTACCACGCTCTTGCCACTAAAACCAGGCGATTGCTTTAGAATAACTATGCAAACTGCTGTGAGAATAGCAGCCATGAGAATTTTTGCAAGAACATGAGGTTTCCTCCTTGTATCCGAGTAGTCCATTCCTATAAATGAGAAATTTCACACCATTTGAGAACTAAAACTAATAGGATGAAAGGGACAAACCGACATAACTTTTAAGTATGCTGATGCATGAATCGAGATCATTAAATTTTAAAATTGACTCTACATTCTCAAGACAGTATTAACAAGCCACATTAGTAGATATCCATAGAGAAGCACCGGTGCAGGGAAAATTCTTTAAAAATTGAGATTGTTAAAGCTTGGCAATTATAAATTTTCAAGAACAATTACCAATCAGCTGAAAATAGTTTATACTTTTCCTGATACAGTAAGGAAAAAAATCAAAACTTTATTGGTGAAGCCACTATGTGACATCTCCTGAGTATTTCCTCTCAAACATAAATAAATGAGAAAAATTGTGATAACAACATTTGCACACCGTATTAGAGGATAATAAAATTCTCATGATGTGCTAGATTTTACATTGAGCAACTGCTAAGAAGCAATTGCATAATCAGAAATTCGAATAACCATAATTGAATTCATTGAGCAACAATATATACAATCTAATAGCTATATACTAACTTTAATTGCTGGCTGAATATCTAATAAGCAATGAAGCAAACCTGAAAAAGGCCAAGATCGACCAGCTCTCGGCTGAGTTCTGTTCCTATTAGGTAGCATGAGAGTGGCAATTTCTCGTCTCAACCACCAGAACACCAAAAGGCTGCCTCCAATTCAGTAAATAATTACGGGCAGCCACATGTACTTAATTCTGCATCATATTCCAAATTTCAGAATACATATAGAATTGCAAACCGAAAAGAGCTACAACAGTTTGTAATATCTTCTACTTTTAATTGATTTAAACTATTCCAATTAGCAAAGTGGAAAGGGAGGAGCTTGCTAAAATCCAAATTGACAGCCTCCATGTCTAAAGTCTAGAAATATTGAATCCTGTCAAACTTTCAGAATTGGAAAACTTAAAAGCAAATTTCTAAAGGACAGGAGAACCCATATAGCAAAATTAGCAGTCCCCTCTTGAGATTATGACTAAAAGCACAACAAAAAAAGGGGGGAAACATTTCAGCTAGGAAAAAGCTAAGAATTACCAGTGTATACAAAATTCTCAAAGTAAATATTATGATACAGAAAATGGCATAAAAAGGTTAAATATATTTTCCAAAATAGTTAGAACGCAATAAGGGCCATTAAATGCCTAGACCTCTAAAAATAAATAGCGTTAAATTCATTAAAAATACCATAAACCTCCATTTTCATAAAAAAAAAATAGTTAACAAACTGGGTACCCAAGAACGGCGTTAAGAAAGAAACAACAGAGCTGATCTTTTTCTGCCTCAAACCCATAATAAATCAAGCAAAAACAAGGCCGTATCATCAAAATCCCAAAACAGAGCAAGTTCCTTCAAACCCACCCAAAATTCAAAATTTAAATGAACCAAGAGGATAAGAGATCAAAAGGATGAGAACCCACCTCAAAAGACCATCAAAGAGAAGGATTACAGCTTCAAAAAGTAATCTTGGTGAGAGAATTCGTTCCTTCAACCGTAGAGAGAGAGAGAGAGAGAGAGAGGGAGACAGAGAGGAGAGAGAAAGAAGGGAGAAGAGAATGGGGAGGGAAGTTTGGACCGAGTCCTTGGCTGCTTTTGAGGAGAATTTAGAGAGAGAAACTCAGAAGTTTAGAGAGAGAGACAGGGAGAGATTGAGGAAAAAAAATTTGTAAAGATGACAGTTTTAAAGCTTCCATGTTCTTCGTATGAGTAGACTTTTGCGCTTTCGACCATACGCCTACCCTTGCTTCTTTCCTTTTTCTACCCTTTTTTTATTTTTTGACAATTTTTTTTTGCATCTTTAAGATTCATATACTTTTTGGTAAATTATAACATATGCTAAGGTGGTTAATGCGCGGCGCCTATAAATGGCCGGGTCAAATTCTTTGTTCCTAACCTAAACCTTCATAACTTTACTAGATGTTTTTTTTTATTTATTAGATTTGTATTCCTATTATTTATTCAGCAAATCATGTATATGCATAAGAAATTATGTTCAGAGATGAACTCGGATTTATGCTGGTATTCTTTATTTATTTTATTTTTAAGAGCTTTTAAAGGCCCCCACCAAGTAAGAAGATAATATATTTTTTAAAAATTATAAAAAGATAATCAAATTTTTACTGTTGATGAATGGTTTTTTTCATGTTAAAGCCCTCATCCCGTGACAATAAAGTATAGTTTTAATTTTACTATGCGTAATGCGATCATATGCAGAACAGAAACTAAAGTCGGTTGTTTAGTTTTCTATACACATCCAATTATTTTATATTTCTAAAAAAACTCATGCCATGGAACGGATGGTGCATATGGCTTTAAATTTTATTCTTATTAATCCATTAATTCATTTATTAGTAACTTATATTGCTTTTAAAGTGATTAGAAGCGTGTTTTATTTTGATTCCATTACATTTAAAACCAAAATCAATATTTTTGGAATGTGATTTGTTATATTTAAACCTCTAATTCTAGCTTCGAGGTCGACGGCACTTAGCCTGCACTGAAGGTCAAATCCATCCTAAATTATCGACATTTTCACTCCTATATATATTCACGTGTACTTTATTGTTGAGATATTCACAATATTACGGAGAATTATTATGTAGTAGTTATAGATATGATCTATTTGATTATTAACTCCAAATACTTGTATTTCTATTCATAACTTTTATACGTAAAAAATCAAGAAAATGCGTGTGAGTTTAGCTTTGATATTTATGAATTTGTCGCAAGGCTTTTTGACTTTTTGCAAATGTCAGGTAGGGGCTTGGCAGGGAAAATGATGGTACAGAGTTTGAGGTTTCAAATTTGTCCAAACTTGCACGTGGCAAGAAAAGAAACAGCGCACGTGGCATTTATTTATGTCGCACAAACCAAGCTTTTGCCAAACAAAAAAAAAACATCTAAAATTGGGCCTATATTTAAGTTGTTATCACTTTTTTGGACAAATGTTGCGTTTATTTCTGTAGCAAGTTCACAGACATTCTAAGCATAAAAACTTTTAACATTATTACGTGCGAGATTTATTCACTTCTCTAATTAAAATGAAACTTCTCGCAATTTATCGCAAGTTGGTTTTTGGAAGATAAATAAATCCTCCAAGCACCAATAATTAATGATTAAGGAAGCACAAGAGACTTCAAAGCCTGTAAATTACTAGTCAAGGAACAATAGGTGAAGTATAAATAAATAATAAAAGGCAGAA